ATTGAATTCGTACCCCTAATTATAATAAGTGCTCCGGAGGTGGGCTAGTCATTAAGTAAACGTATTTTTTGGAAAAAGCAAAAGTTTTCTTCAGATCTAGACGATTCTAACGGTAGTAAAATCATCAAAACGGCCCAGTAGTTCACCCGCGATGGCGTTTGTTTGCAGATCATGAATTTTGAAGAGCCAATTCGGGCGAACTATTGAACCGGTTTTGATGATTCTACTGGAAGAACAAGTACTAGTTATCAGTCGTGTCGCAGATGATTGATATTTATCAACTAGAGACTCGACTGATAACTTCGTTATCCGACATGTCTGACGTAAGTACTGAGTGATTTCTGTGTAACCTATTAGTTACTTCCTAATACAAAAATGCAAATATTCACTCACCTCGTAAGAAATGAGTGAATTTTGTATATTGTATTAGGAAGTGACCGGTTACCGTATTACCGCGAAATAACGACCATTTCGAGATTCAGCCAGAATTAAGCTTAATTTAGGCCGGAATTCATAATTTCACCCCTGCGCGTTTATTTCGCGGTAATTCATTCAGTGACCACATAGGACGTGTCGGATAACCTTTATTTAAAAATTCAAAAAAATAGGTTTACTTAATACTAAACCCAGTTCCGGAACACATTTTATTTTATTTATTTATATATTTATTTAAAGGGATGCGGGACGCCATGGGCGATAATTTGAGGCTGCATGTACTATTTTAGGGGTATCTAATTTTCAAATTAACGCCCCTGAGCAATAAACTTTTTATTTGAATTCTATGGATTCGTAGAATTCAAATAAAAAAATTGACCCGGTGGTTTCGTCCAAAGTCTTAAAAAACTCAAAACGTCTATCAAAACAGAAGTCGCGCCAAAATTATTTTTATTCTTCGAGCTCGGCAACCACCAAGCCAAATTCGATGAACTTTCTTTTTTTTTTGAATTCAAGAATCTGTAAGATTCAAATAAAAAAATGTTCATCGAATTTGGCCTGTGGTTGCCAATATGTCTTCGTTCAAAGTTTTAAAAAACTCAACGCCTATAAAAGTAGAAGTGTGCCAAAATTTTTCCCAATGTTTGAACGTTTTTTATTGAATCCTTCAGATTCGTAGAATTCAAATAAAAAAAAAGTTCATCGAATTTGACTTAGTGGTTGCCAAGATATCTTCGCTCAAAGAATAAAAATAATTTTGGCGCAGCTTCTGATTTGATAAACGTTTCGAGTTTTTTAAGACTTTGTGCGAAGATATCTCAACAACCACTAGGCCAAATTCGTTGAACTTTTTTTTTATACGAATTCATAGAATTCATAGAATTTAAATAAAAAAAGTTCATCGAATTTGGCTCGGTGGTTGCCAAGATATCTTCGTTCAAAGACTTTAATTTGTATGGGGGTACAAATCCCCTAAAACATAAATTTTACTATCGATACTGTATAAATATTCAGAAACAATCCTATAAATTATACTTTTTAAAACTCAAATTTAATGAAAAAAAAATCATTTACAATAAAATACAAATACTTATTTACAACAAAGCTATCAATTCATAAATTGATTTTTATTTATATATATTTTGATTTGTAAATTTAATAATGTTAGTAGTATACATGAAAGAAAGAAATGTTTTTATGAATGAAAATATGAAATGACTTATAACCGCCTATATATATCTAACAAAAATTCCTATCGCACAAAATGTTACCCAATACTTTTTAAAATAATCCTTCAGTTATTTTAACTCGCTGCGCTCCGTTCTTGTTATCTGATAATCAATCCAAATTCAATCCAATTATTGAATCTGGATATAATTGATTAAAAGTCTTGAATTTTTTTTTTAAAAAAATAATTAAAAAATTCTAATATTACAATATTAAATGCAAGCATATTTGTTTAATGAATTTGTGATTTTTGAGTTTGATAATATTTACCAAAATAGGATATATATGAGTTTTGACCATGAACCCAAATAGAAAATGCCGATTCCCAAACACAAAAAAGTAATAATGCCGTAATTTAGAAAATAAAATAAAAAAGGTTTTGGTCACAACCCTAAGTTTCCCCCCCTAGCCATTCCCAAGTATAAGTATAACGTCCTTTATATTCAAGACGACGTGTTCGGACCATAGGATTGCCTTGAATACATTTTTCAACACGTTTCCATAGCTCAATACGTTTAAAATCATTTTTGATATGATGCATAATCGATTCTTGCCATTGGGCTGAGATCATGCTTCGTTCTTGTCTCATTGCATTTAAAACCATATCGGCAGCTTTTTTTACTTGTTCGTTTTCCCATATCTTTTCTCTAACTTTGTAACTTACACCTACCAAACCCGCGAAAACAAAGATCGTTCCTAAACGTAGCGATAATTTGAATTAAATAAAATAAAATAAATAAATAAAAAATAAAAAATAAAAATAAAAAAAAATAAAATAAAAGTTTAAAATGTACGCACCAATAATAAACATTAAATTCTCCCTCAACCAGGCTATACCAAAAAGCTTAATCCTACAAAATAGTGAGGGGCTCGGCTTCTTCGAAATAACATAGCTTTTAAGTTTATTATAACTCCTAAATATATATATATATATTATATATATTGCAAATCAATAAAACTAATAACTCGTATTACGTTCAAGAATGCTCGAGCTTTAAAAAAAAACTCACTCTCTTTCATCAATTATTTCAAGATCATCGTCCGATTTCAAGTCTTTCAATGCAATTTGTGTGAGTCTTTCAAAATTCTCATCTGTATCCTGAAATGGCTATTACAGAAAAAAATTAATCTTGCTCCATCATTATAAACGATCAATCAAGCTCATGAATTATCAGAAAATGTATATACTTCCTGACGATTAATGAGTATGAATACATTATATATCCCAGAATTATTTACTTACTAATTTCTTTTGGCGAAGTATTCTAAGAAGATTCTGAAATAATAAATGTTCTCGATCTTCATATCCGCATATAACCCTTCCAGTTTCTTCAGCAGATATTTTTTTAAGCAGTTTAGTATACATATCAATCTTTTTAGCGCGTTCAACGTCAGGTATACATCTGCTGGTGAAAGGTTTGAGCCAATGAATTGATGAAGATGTGAACACGAAACCTTCATCACACGAGGTGATATTACCCTCTGAGCAATGAGCCTTAGGTGGACAAGGAGTACAAGCGATCTCAAAAAGGGATTCTATAATGTTCGAGATAAATTTATTATAATTATAATAACACTTTTAATTAAAATTATTTAGTATTAAGTCTTACCTTCACTCTCGGCGCTTCCACCGTCTGCTGTACTCGATGGTCCATCACAAAAGCCAATTTCCATTTTGAATCGAGTGTAAGCGCCAATGGTCAAAATTACAAAAAATAATATAAATGCTGTTTTTAATCCACGTGGCTTTGTTTGAGATTTTATTAATTCTGGTGACGGCTGCCGGTTAATTTGTCGCGTTGGCATGTAATTAGGATTTCTAAATGCATATGCCACTGCTTCACGTCGATTAGTAGAATTATCTTCTTTGACACGCTTTGGATTTGGAAGTTCTGGGTACAATCGTCCTTTATCATTAGCTTTAGGTGTTTTATCTGGTACAATCGATCTAACTTTTATTGTTTGTGAATCTACGTCCGTCGATCCTTCAGATACGAGCTCAGACTCATTTATAATAG